GTGACAGTCTTGTGTCACTACTAGAGTGCCGCAAGGCTTCAGCAAACTGCCACACTCAGTGCACTGCCAGACGCAGTTCCGAACGCCATCTATGGCTGTGTCCTGTGGGACAGGAAAGACAGTGGAGAAGAAAACTTCAATGCAGGGATATAAGGGGCACTTTGGAACCGTGACAGCGAAAACGTGACAGAGAAAATATGGTGCCGTCAGTGTGCGTTTACATGACTTACTTGTTTTTCTTTTTCTTTTTTTTTTTGTCTTTTTATGGCAAGGTCTCCCCACACAGTTCAGGCTGTCCTTGCACTCACTTTGCGGCTCCGGCTGGTCCCTAGCTCATGACAATCCTCGTGCCACAGCCCCCGAGTGTTGGGCTCACAGGCATACACCACCATGCCTGGTTCTGTAACTTCCTCTTAGACTGATGATGTCACTGAGAGGGTAAAGAGGAGCATGTAGCTTTCACATCAGCTGACCTCTCTTATTTTTAAATCATGTTGCTGCGTGGAATTTAAAAGCTGTATGGTAGGAATGTGTGAATGATTTGACTGAGTTATTTAGCAATTTGTCAATTTATTCTGAGACAGAACGATCCCAAGTGGGCAGAGTGCTCCCTGCTGCAGGAGAAGCTCAGGTGTGTGCTGAGCTGGCCAGGCGGCGCCCTGCTGAGGTCCGGTGACGTGTGCCGCAGGGCCCTTTTGTGCCTTTCCAGTCTTCAGAGGGTGTTTTAAGTAGATCAGTGTCTCATGTCACAGTCATTCCTGAAATGAAATTTTTAAAAATTCAAGGTTTTTTCTTCCAAACTATATTCACGCTTATACAGAAAATTGCATCCCAAAAATGTGTCTTCCTACTCCCCAGTCTTAAAAGTACATTCAGTGTCTTGGCAATAAGCAAGACTCTGCCTGGGATTTCTCTTGTTCCCTTGCTACTCTGGCCTCTTTTTGTTTTTTGCTTTTTTTTTTCTTTTTTTTGGCAGAACCGGTGATCGAACTCAGGCCCTTGCGCTTGCCAGAGAAGCGCTTATTCCACTGAGCCATCTCCCCGGCCCCTCATTTTGTTTTTTTAAAAAACTTTTAATCATTTCACAAGACTGTGATGCATAAACAAGTAAGTAAAACACAGCCATGTCTAATTATTCTATCCACAGGTCTCGTTTTGTGCTTTGTCATTACTTTTGTTGACTGAAATATTCTCTCAGTAGTAAACTTTTTATATGTATTATTCTATGCATTAATATTTAACACTATTAGGAACTGCAAATCTCTAAGCTCTTAACCTAAAATGTTATGCTGATTTCTGCTTAATGAGCTTGCTGGTTGCATGGAGGTCTTCGGCTGTGTGCATGTGACTCATGCCCCTCATGTCTCAGGATGTCTTCTTCCAGTGACTCCTCCCATGACAGCAAGAAGACCTGGTGCCGTTCTGCTGCCACAGCACGCATCCTGCTTTGCCAGCATGGGGGTTTGTCTGTCACCTTCTAAGCCTTCTTGTTACCATGTGCGGGGAAAGCAGTCTTCCTCACTAGCTGTGGTTGCTGTTCAGCCCCCAACCCCAGGGCCAACCCACAAGTGGAATTCAGTGAGCTCTGCTAAATAAGTTGATCCCAAGGCTTCCTGACTCTCTTTAGTATTTCTTCTGCATCCTCCACAGGAGATGCTGTGCATAATGGTTGCTTGGTGAATCCATAACTGAACGATGTACACCGTCTTAGCAGAAGAGAAATGCGTGGGCTCAGTTCTAGTGGGGAAAGTCTGAAACCAGCTCCTCTCTGGGGCTGCTACTTCTGGAGCTCTGGAAGGAAAACGTCCTGCGTCCTCCAGCTTCCTGCCATGGCTAGCTGGGCGGCATCCTTGCCCAGGCACTCTGTCAGCCAGTTCGCCCTCCTCCCAGGGCCATCTTTCAAAGGGAACGTCAGTCATTTTAGAGGAGTCCGTGTATGTAAATGTTCTCTCTCAGCACTAAACATTCCTTTTATATGCATTCCTCTGTGCATGAATATTTAACATAGAGTTAATGTTACATAGTAATATTATTAATATAATAATACTATTATATAGAGTATATAACATTATGTGGAGTACATACAATACTCTATTATATACTGTATTATATAGAGTATACAGTATTATATGGAGTATACAGTATGCTCCAATACACATTCACCTAATTAATTACACTTCTAAGACTATTTCCAAATGAATCCCCTTGCCAAGGTTCTGAGGAGGCTGTTTTCACCCTTCGGGGGGAGGATAGCCGTGGATGTCCATAATGGGACATTGGAAAAGAGTCCAGGTTCTAGATTTGGGTAATTACAGACCTTTTCTCCTAAACCGTTTACTACAGGACACTGAATGTAAAATAAATCCAAATGCTCTAAACTGTAAGTAATAAGAAAAAAAGTTTTGTTAGCGGTAGTGATGAAAGTGCCTTTTATCCTGTGACATGGGCAAAAATATTACTTTTGATTTCTATTATTGTGCTGCCCAATCGTGATTGAAGCTACTTTTATCAATCACCTCATGTATAAATAATACAATAGTTATTTACTCTTTGTTTGTGGAACATACTGCTGCTGCAAAAACTCTACCTACAAAATAATATTACATACTATCATTCCAATTTTCCAACCAAGACAGAATATTTAGAATAAGATCCTAAGTGAGAAACTTTTCCTACTTTCATAAGGGGGAAGTATTTTTTTATTAATTTTATTAAGAAACAAATAGCAATGAGAGAGTTTCAAAACAAGTTATAGGACAGTTTCAGTAATTAATACACTGCATATTGTTGTCTTTGTAGTAGTTATTCATCATACAAGATGCAGACATGATAGTCTGTTCAATAGAACATATTTCATTCTGAGTTTGTGGTTATTAAATGTCGGGTCTCTTAATTCAAATTTTACTCTATTGGCCAACAGAAATTTCTAGAATCTGGCACTGTAAACCAGATACTGGTTAAAACTTTAGCAAATGAATGAATGAACTTTACCTTTTACAGTACTAGACAACCTGTATGTTCACCATGGCCTGGGCAAACCAGACCTTCAACTCTGACTTCATCCTGCTGGGAATCTTCGACCACAGCCCCACGCACACCTTCCTCTTCTCGCTGGTCCTGGCCGTCTTCACAGTGGCCTGCGTGGGGAACTCGGCCATGGTCCTGCTCATCTACCGGGACGCCCAGCTGCACACGCCCATGTACTTCCTCCTCAGCCAGCTCTCCCTCATGGACCTC